GAGCCTGTCCGGCGGGAGGGAGGCCTCCATGGCGCGTGTGTCGAGGCGGATGCCGAGAAACTCCAGAGCGTTGGCGGGGCCTGTGGTCTTTCTGGAGTGGAGGAGTCCGAGGGCAGAGAAGGCGGGCCTGAGCTTGCGGAGAGAGCCCCCGGAGCAGTCTGAGGGTGGTTGATTACGAGGGAATCATCGGGGAGATGCGGGACAGAGGGGAGCCGCGCGTAAATAAGCAGAATCCGACACGGCGCCTCCGAGAGATTGTTGAACGAGAGGGACTACTCCGGCGGTCAAAGGTGAGGCGCACTGCGAAGAAGAACTCCGACGCCGCTTGACCCCCGAACAGCGCCAGTGGTCGGGGTGGATGGCAGCAGCTTGAACGCGTCCGGGATGACGGCCTTGGAGAGCCAGGAGCTGGGGCCGAATTCTTCATCGGCCTGGCCGCGTGGTCCACGGTAGCGGACCGCAGGGAGAAGGGCGCCGGAAGGAAGGGGCTGTTGATGCTCGGGCGGGCCCGGAGCGGGGACAGGAGAGGACGAGTATGAGACGCTTCTTCCTGGAGTGCTTGCGGGTGGCGATGCCCATCGGGTTAGAGCGAGACGGAGAGAAGGGGCCAATGACGTAGCCCACGGACACCTCCCGCGCCCGAGCCGCGTGCCGACTTGGGGCTCATGGAGAGCCGGGAAGAGGTTGTGGGACACGAGACGCCGAGGGACCTAAACAGAGCTTGCAGTCTAAGGTGAGGGAGTTAATAGAGCTTGCAGTCCAAAGTGAGGTAGTAAAACTGAGCCCGCAGTCCAAGTGAGGCGTTTAACGGAGAGCCTGCAGTCCGGTGTGAGGGAGTTAAACGACCTGTAGTCCGAGGTGAGGGATTAAACTGAGAGCTTGTAGTCCAGAGTGAGGGATTCGACATTGCCCGCAGTCCCAAAAGAGGGATTTATAACTGAGAGCTTGTAGTCCAAGTGAGGGATTAAACCGAGAGCTGCAGTCCAGTGGGAGGGATTTAAACAGGTTTTACGGTCCAAGTGAGGGATTAACTGAGCCCGCAGTCCAAGTGAGAGTTTAGACTGAAAGCCTACAGTCCAGTGTGAAGGATCCAACAGAGCCTGCAGTTTTTTTTTTTTTTTTTTTTTACTGATTTATTTACATTTATTTATTTATATTTATTTATATTTATTTATATTTATTTATATTTATATTTATTTATATTTATTTATATTTATTTATATTTATTTATATTTATTTATTTATTTATATTTATTTATATTTATTCATATTTATTCATATTTATTCATATTTATTCATATTTATTCATATTTATTCATATTTATTCATTCTTATATATAAGCGGTCCAGATATAGCAGTACCATATATGCAGTTCCAATATGAGCAGTTCCGTATATGAGCAGTTCCGTATATGAGCCGTTCCATATAAAAGCAGTTCCATATATAGCAGTTCCGTATATAGCAGTTCCATATATAGCAGTTCCATATATAAGCAGTTCCGCATGAAGCAGTACCAGGTACGGTATAACAGTTCCAGATATAAGCAGTTCCAGATATGAGCAGTTTCGTGAGGGATTAACCTGAGAGCACGCGGTCCAATGTGAGGGATTCAATTTGGGAGCCTCAGTCCAAGAGGGATTTAAACAGAGCTTGCAGTCCAAAGAGAGGGATTTAAACAGAGCTCGTAGTCCAGAGAGGGATTCAAAGAGGGCCTGCAGGCCAAAGTGAGGGATTAAAACTGGGAGCACGCAGTCCAATGTGAGGGATTAAACTGACAGTGGCGGTCGGCCAATAGAGGGCGCTAGGGCGCCGCCCCACCACTCACAACTTGCCATGTTACCTTGAATAAAACGTTTAAAAAATAATAACATTAAAATATTTCGAAATGTATGTGTGTTTTATTTCAGATGTGGAAGAAATACTTTATAGTTTATGCTGAGTTGGATTGATTAAGCTCATCAGCGTTGTCTGTGTCGGACTGAGGACGTATTTCCGCCTCAGGGCGCAAAAGATTGCGCCCTGGCCCTGAGCCGTCTATGGACTCTCGTTAAAAGTTGTACATGCGCAGTAGCTCCTCTTCAATGCAAGAGATAAGACGATTTGGGGGCGCAGGAGAAGTGCGCCCTGAGGGGGCGGGATCGCCCGCGACCTGTACTGTCACTGTCTGTGACGTCCGTTTACAGTGATTGACAGGTCAAGCTGTGGGAGTTTGAGACGAACGTAAAGAGACGCAAAATGGAGAACGAGAAAAAGAATAATTCAGTTAGATCACTCAAAACAATACCGTTTGAGAGAAGATCATACCAGGAGAAGGTTGAGGTTAAAGAGCTTGGACCTGATCAGCCAAATATTACCATTAGTCAGCAGTCCAGGACCTGGTTCAGCGCCAAATCTTGGCTAGCAGCATGTAGCGAGGCTAATGCTTTATTTTGCTTTCCATGCCTCTTGTTTCAAACATCAGGATCTGACCCAGCATGGATCAAGACAGGTATGACTGATCTGAAGCACTTTTTAGAAAAGGCAAAGAAGCATGAGCAGACTGGTATCCACATGCAAAATGCCCTCAAATTAGCTATGTTTGGGAAGATAAATATTTCATCCCAGCTGGATGAAAGCTACAGGGTAGGGATCAGAAAGCATCCCTACCCTGCTGGTATATATCTAGTCATCATATTCATAGCCCCCCCAGTAGAAAATTCCACCAGCCGCCACTGAAACTGAGATCTTGCAGTCCAATGTGAGGAATAAACGGAGCTTGCAGTCAGAGTGAAGGATTTAAACGGAGCTTGGTTAAAGAGAGCCTGCAGACCAATGCGAGGGCTTTAAACTGAAGCATGCCCACCAATGCACGGGGCCAACTGAGCCTGCAGTACAAAGCGCGGGGCCAACTGAGCCTGCAGAACAATGCGAGGGGAATAAATCGTCTGCGGATCTCATACTTACCCACAACGCCAGAAGACAAGGGACAACACAACGGGACCACGCCGTACCGGCACGAGGAGGCAGGGATGCGCACGGCTCCCACCGCACCGGGCTAGACCGGCCGTATGCAGCAGCAGGCCGTGACGAGACGAGCAGCGGCGAACCCGCAGAAAGAGCCCGCAAGGAGGAGAGCGGCAAAGACGCACGGACCACAGCACGAGACCCGCAGCAGGTGCAGCGACGCGGAGGAGGAGCAGACCACACGCAGCAAGACAGAGGACAGCAGGGACACGCACGAGTAAGCGTGAGTAGACAAAAGCGATTCCTCCAGAACGAGTCATTGCAGGCTTCGAGAAGGCCGAGAATGGGAGTTCCTCCGCTTTTAAGCGGCTTGCCTGGCTGGACCGGTGATTGGAAGGGGGCGTTTGCCGTGCGATAGGCTGGGGATGAGAACCGGCCTGGAGGGGTTACCTTTGGCTGACGTCTACCAAATTGAACTTCCGCTGGCTGCATTTGTCAGATCTCCAGTTGGAATGATGGTTAGCTCCAAAAAAAAGATGTTTTGACATCCGGCGCAAGAAGGACCAAAAAATGTTATGCTAGTTCAGCCAGGTTTCCTTAAACAGTCGCCCGATGAAAGAATGGAAACTACAAACTTAGATAGATATAAAAGAAGGTTTAATATATAAAACACAATACATATAAAAGACAGGCAGAGAGAAAAGCCTGGGTCTGCGCGGACGAGAGCCAAAGCACAAAAGACCACGCTGATAGTTAGGCCTGCCCTCTTATACCAAAGGATTTAAAACACATGTGACAATATGACCTATGAACTCTAGGTTAGAAAACAATCTTCTCATCCATCAGAAGTGTCTTCTTGTCTGAGACCAACTCAACACAGATGTTTTCTGGCTTCATGCTTGTTTACTCTTCTCGTCTTTCACTCTTGCCTGGGGGCTGAAAGAATTCTGCATTCTTCGCCACCCTCAATGCATGAGTTGGTTAACTTGACTAGACCCTACTAATCTACACACATTTATTAATATGATAATACACATAACATTTCTTAACAATTACTTACTTTCTTACTTATATACAATCTCTGGAAGGTCTCAAACACAGAGACGCTGCAGAGCTGCATTCTTGGAGAAGAATTTACACGAAAATCCGCTAGCTTTACTCTGTTAGCATCGAAGCCTGCCCGGTACTTCCGCCATGCGCAAAAGCAGGGCAGCACTTAACTCTCTGTCTGAAATTTAGTGAATGTGCGTCCAGCGTGCGTGTGGAAATTACGATCAAGCGTTGGCGGTCTAAACGCCCCATAACACTGATTGATATAACAGTAAGTTATGCAGAGGTGGTTTATAAACTAAGTTCGCTGTGGGAGCTCGTGGGAATGAAGACATGTAGAATTTTCTGAAATAATATACGTATTGTATTGGAAATTATGTTTAGGGAAACGAAAACAATTATAAACCGTTGTGAAAGGGGAAAAAAAGGGAAAAGGCGTGTTAACCTTTATGGTATGGTTTCAGAGTTCACTTTTGTTGGTCGTTCACTTCCTTTAAGTGAAGTTTGGTTCAAGTGCAGAGTCCAGTTTAGTCTCTCAGGTCTCTCTTTGGTCTCTCTCTGCTCTTTATCTGGTCTCTCTCTCTGGCCTCTCTCGCTGGTCTCTCAAAGCAAAAAGAATCCAGTTTGGTTTTGGAAGACAATAGAATAAGTGTGATCTAATTAAAGTTTAAATTCTGCTGTGAAGCCCTCAGAGCTAAGTTATTGTGTATTTGTCACTAAACAGCATCAGGAAGGCCAAGGAGAGACCAGAGAAGTCAGGGAGGAAGGACCAGGAGACACCAGAGAGGTCAGGGAGGAAGGACCAGGGAGGATTAAAGCATGAATTGGTTCTATACAAACATTTCGCTTGGCACCACCACTAAGACCAGGCTGTCCTCCTGAACTAACAGGACTGATCAAAGATGCAGACAAGAGGCCAATGGTACAAGTTCAAAAAGCAAAACAAAAGAGTAGGTGTTCTTTATCATAGACATTAAATAATTAACTTTTTACAATAATTCCACAGATCCTCATCACAGAGACTTGTACCTGAAAAAAGTCGACTTCCTGCCGCTGATCAACGGAGAAATCCAACATGAGCATCTCGACGGTGAGAACCAGGACTAAACCAGGACTGAACCGGGACTGAACCGGGACTGAAGCGGGGCTGAACCGGGACTGAAGCGGGACTGAAGCAGGACTGAAGCGGGACTGAAGCAGGACTGAAGCGGGACTGAAGCAGGACTGAAGCGGGACTGAAGCAGGACTGAACCTGGACTGAGCCAGGAATAGACCAGAACTAAAGCAGGACGTGACCATGACTAGACCAGGACAGAAGCAGGACTGAACCAGGCCTAAACCAGGACTAGACCAGGACTCAATCAGGACTAGACCAGAACTAGATCAAGACTAAAGCAGGACTGAACCAGCACTGAACCAAGGCTGAACCAGGACTAAACCAAAACTAAACCAGGACTGAACCAGGACTGAGTCTGTGTATTTTGCTGCAGAGTGGAAGAAGAACTTCCTGCAGATAAAGAAGATGGTTCTGATCGGAGGTCCAGACGACGGGGTCATTACTCCGTGGCAGTCCAGGTCTGTGCCCACGATCCAGACGACATGGGACAACACAACACGACTGAGAAGCACATAGAGCTCTTCTATGTGTTTGAACAGTCATTGAAATAGTTATTCTAAACACACACATAAAGAAACTCACACTTTCACTCACAATTTCTTTAAAAATATTTCAGTCACTTTGGATTCTACAACGATAACGAAGAAGTGGTGGAGATGAAGAATCAGGAGGTGAGTCCTGTTTCACTGTGTTTATGTCCATTAACAATTCGTCTTTGAATAGTTTTAAGTCAAAATAAAGTAGCAATATGTAAGATTTTCATGTTAAGTCATCATTAAATGGCTATAATCTGTCAAAAGGCATTAATAAAAGTCAGGCTCTTTTTGAATACTTCTTTAACTGATACTGAAGTAGTTCAGCCGAGATATTTGAATATTAAAATTAAATGTACAGCCCCTAAATCTTGGTATTGTTTTCATTTCGATGTCCCGCTCTACACCGTCCATGATCCGGGTTGCCAGAACTCACAGCGTCGAGCTAATCTCACTGGTAAAATACCATGTGGCAGAACTAAAAAAGGTCTCGATATGATTCTCAAATCATGAACGACTAATCAAGAAATACAACCAGGATTTTCTATCTGCATATCTGGCAACCTGAGTCAGGGAGAGTGGGAGAGGTTGTAGTACCACTTTTGGCCAGATTATGACATATTGCTTCTTTAAAAGTAACAGTCATTGTCTTTCATGGCTTTCAATTCGCCCCAATAACTAGTGCAATGATAATGATTTCCACTCATGATAAATGTTAAATATGAGTTTGATCTAAAATACCAGAGATTACTGAAATCACTGACATGCCAAAAGCAAGATGGATGATTGTGTAGGACTCAAATGAGTTCTCCACAATATTCCTATGTGTTTGTGAACTTACAAACACCGAGAGAATTCAGCTTGCAGGAAAAGTTAGAGAAGGGGAGGGAAAGCGGAAGAATCAATGTTATCTTTGGTTATGGTGTGTTAGCTTGTGTTAGCTTCTGTTAGCTCATCTTATGCATCTTCGGCTGGATCATCAAATATGGATTACATATTTTAGTTGTCTTTAGGTTTCAATTCTTGCTTGGATTGAAAACGGGCCGAAATCTAAAGAAGGCTCAGAAATGTGGACAGGGGATTGTTATTGAGGAAATATTAAGAGATATAACAGGCCACAATAGCGCTCATAAAGTTGCTAACTTTGATTTAGTATTGACTCTCATTCGATTAAACGGGATGGAAAAGGTCAGCGGTGCCATGGTGTGGAATTTTGTTTTAGTTTAGTTTAGTTTATTTGTTTATTTGAGCAATACACATTGTGCTCAAAAGGAGTGGGCTGAAGCAAAAAGCTTATGAGCCCCCACCCCCAAGTGCAATACATAAAAAAAGAACATTTCAAAACATTTCAAGCAGCTACATTCGTACAGACCAAATTACAACAAACAACAAAAATATATTAACTCTTTATATAATTAATTGGAACAACGCACAGCTACAACAACAATCTAGTTTCATATACGATGTCTAGAACAAAGCAAGTCAAAAAATGTGTTACTTAATATATTGCTTGCAGATTTTTACCCGTGATTACAAAGTTACTTTTATGGTATAAAAGTACATTAATAGATATTATAATCTGAGATCTTGATACTTTCCAGTTGTCATTACCATTCTCAGTATAATTTTAATTTGGGTTTAATTATCATCATCATTATTATATATTTATTTAATTGAGCTATGTGAAGTATGATGAAAGCCCTGCACAGTGTGGTGCATTAAAAAGCCAGAGAGTGAGCCAGTTGAAGAGGGCAGTAACTCCCCTTCAACAAACCCCCACACAGCTGCCCTAACAGCTGATTTTGTAGATGATGTTCCTATGCTGAGTGGTGCATTAAAAGACAAGGTTTAGAGCCCGTTGGGAGGATTCCTCTCAACAGATCCATTACCTGGCAACCCTAATTCTCCATTTGTGAATTTTAGCAATAGAATGACAACTGTTCCAAGCAGCAACACTCTTCCTTGAATATAGAGGAAAAATACACATAATTGATCCTACTGCTCACCCTAGTGGCAACACATTTCCTCTTGCCTGTATACTTCAAAAGTCTTTTGTTTGTATTTATATTTGAACAGGTTGATGTTTGGACATCGTTTCAATTCCATCTCCAGTTTATTCCACAATTGTACACCATTAACTGTTGGACTAAAACTTTTCAAAGTTGTGCTATGTTTCTGAATCCTAAAGTTTAATTCATCACGTAATTCATAATGACCGGGACGTTCTTGGAACCTTCTTTGTAATTGGTTTGGTAACAGTTTATACCTTGCTTTGAATAACATCTGTACAGTTTGGAACTCAACAATGTCACAAAACTTCATGATCTTTGATTTTAAAAATAATGAGTTTGTGTGATCCAAAAACCCAACTTTATGAATTACTCGGATAGCTCTTTTTTGCAACAATATTATTGGTTTAACTGTGTTTTTATAAGTACTACCCAAACCACAGTACAATAATATAAGTAGGACAAAATCAGAGAACAGTATAAGGTATGTAGAGCTTTGATGTTAAAAATGTGCTTTGCTTTTGCTATTACTGAAATGCTTCTAGAAATTTTCGTAGATATATATTTAATGTGGGATTTCCGAGTAATTCTGTCATCAATAATCACACCAAGGAATTTGATTTCATGCACTTGCTCGGTAACAATACCCTCTATCTGAATTGCTTTTACTCAGGTTTAGAGATAATTTGTTTTGTTTGAACCACTTATTGACACTCTTGAGTTCCAAGTTAACAATCCGACACAGCTGTTGCAAGTCGTCTCCTGATGCAAAAATATTTGTATCGTCAGCAAACAAGATAAATTTAAGTACTTCAGATGTTTTACAAATATTATTAATATACATATTAAACAATTTTGGGCCCAGAATAGAACCTTGAGGTAAACCACAGACAATTTGTCGACAACTCGTCTGATAATCACCGATTTTCACACATTGTTTTCTATTTTTTAAGTAACTGGTAACCCACTGTAGAGCTACCCCCCTAATCCCATAATTTCATTTCATTTTCATTTCATTTACATCCCTTTATTTTCCATTTCTGGGTCAGGGGGGTGGCAATCAGAACTGCCACCCAATTCACATAGCACCAGTCCCTTGCTGATCTTCCTGCAGGTGGTGGGTCCACGGGAAGATGGCTGCTCGTTCGACACAGATGCAGCCTTGGTCTTTCAGCGGGGACTTCAGGCACATTGGGGTTAAGTGTCTTGCCCAGGAACACAACGACAGCAGACATCTGTGGGAGCAGTTGACATGGGTCGTAGTGGGATCGAACCCACAACCATTAGGTCCAAAGACCATTGCTCTACCAACTGAGCTGCTGTCACCCCTCCTAATCCCATAATGTTCTAGTTTATTAATTAATATATCATAGTTTATTGTTTCAAACGCTTTACTCAGGTCAATAAATAACCCTATTGCATATTTCTTGTTATCTACAGCGTTAGTTATTTCTTCAGTTATATCAAAGAGCGCGTGTGAGGTTGAGTGATTGTTCCTAAAACCAAACTGATTTTCCGAGAGTAAATTACACTTTTCAATAAAGCTGTCAAGTCTTGAGTTAAAAACCTTTTCTAAGATTTTAGAGAATTGCGGTAAAAGGGAAACAGGCCTATAGTTTGTAAAGAGATGTTTATCTCCTGCCTTGAACAGAGGAATCACTTTTGCTACTTTCATACTATCCGGAAATTGTCCAGTTTGCAACGATAAGTTACAGATGTATGTTAACGGCTTAGAGATACTTTCAATAACAGTTTTTAAAGTTTTCATATCCATGTCATGGTAATTGGTCGAAGTTTTATTTTTACACCCTTTAACAATGTCCAGTATCTCCTTTTCCTTTTTTTTTTTTTAATTTCGACATCGGTTCTCAGTGTTTTGGTTTTAATTTTACTTCCTGTAATGTCCCCCTGTGTTAATCCCGGTTCACACGAGACGATTATAAAATTGTCGGACGATTTTATCTCCGTGTGAGACCCCACACACGGAGATAGAAAATCACGGGTCTAACCACTTTGGTCGTACATTGTGTGGTGTGCAGCCACACGGCAAAATCACGCAAACCACTCACATCACACACGAACCGAATTCACCCCCGAGCATTCACAGGTTACCGGAAATCTCACAACATCTCTCGAGATCAAGTGTGACTTCAGAGTAAACAGAGTGTGCGGGCCTCTCCGCTTCACGCAGCCTATAGAGACTCTCGTCTGACCACAGCAGCCACAGACACCATGAGGACAGACATGTGGATTTTACTGCTCCACAGTTCTCTGGTCTGTACTGTCTGTGCTGTTCAACAATACAGTTTGTACGGACTACCTGTGAACGCATCACACACACTGCTAGACATGAAACTTAACATACGCGCAAACCAACAAGCATGGCTGCAGTAACGGTTGCATCAACACGTCTGTACTGTATTAGGACAGAGTGCAAAGCAGCAATTTCTGCCCAATTCCTCTCCTTGTCATTTCGGTGATGATATTCTTCACACGACATGTCATACACACATTCACGGTGTTGCCAGAGGTCAATTAGTTGTTCCTCCATCTCTGATGTCCACCAAACTTTATGGTGCGCCATGCCGCTGACTGTTTTGGTTTTTTTACGGCATTTCCTCGCCGGCTCGTCTCGTCTTCTGATTGGCTACACGCCACAGTCATGGCAACACGCTAGTCTGACCCCGGGGGACACCACACACGGAGAGAAATCGGGCCAAAACAATCCAACATGTTCGATATCCCCGATATTGAGATCGGAGCAGTCTTAACACACCACACACGGCAGGACAATCCATCAGATTTTTTGTTACGATATTCGGAGCGTTCTTACGATTGTCGTAGGGGTAAATCGGTTCCAAAATCGGCCTAATTATCCTGCCGTGTGAACCAGGCTTTAATTATCTGCCCCGCCTTGATGTGTTTCACCCGTGTCTCTCCCGGTCTATAAGAACCTGTGCTCTTCCCCATTTGTTGCTTGTCTATTTTCTTTGTCCGTGTATGTTAGTCTGTATTCCTGGTTCCTCTGTTGGACTTTTGAGCTTGGTTTAACCTTGCTCTTTTGGTGTTCATCAAGAAATCATCATTATTTTAGCATTTTTGGTCCTTCCTTCTTTTCTCCACATAACACGAGGGCCAAATAGAAATGTGAATCAGTCCGTGCGTGGTCCCCGGGCCGTACTTTGCCCAGGTCTGGTCCTGCAGCTGCCATATGTCTGTGTGTTCCGCTCCTTCCTCCATCATTGAAATGTGTTGTTTCTGTGGTTTACAGTTTTACACCTCTGACGCCTTTGGCCTGAAGACGCTGGACTCTCGTGGAGACATCTCAGTCTGTGTTCAGTCTGGAGTCCCTCATCTCCACTGGCACATTAACATCACCGTCTTCAACAACTGCATTAAGGATTGGCTCATCTGAACATCCAACAGAGGAGAACATGATTTAAAATAGCTAAGATTTTAATGATCACTTATGTGTATGCATCTTGTATCTGAATCATCTTGAAAACAAACAAATCCTGTATGTAATCTGTGCACGTCATGGTCTAATAAAGTCATTACGATTATACACTTATTCTTGCACACTTTCTGTAATGGACACTTCTCAAATATCGCTGTTTGTCTCCTATATGATTAAGATCCTTTAAGTTACGGAACCGTAGGAATGAGGAGCACACAGCACAAGAGAAATAACACTATGTTTACTATGAAAGGAAAGAAATCTAAAATCTCATTAGTGTATCATCCGTTCATTTGATTTTCTAAATAAAACCAACGTTTAAAAAACAAATATCAATGGATGTTTTTGATTCTCAATCTTTGAATTTAAAGAAGCTGTACCCGATTTATTTTCTAATAAGTTCATACAAATTCTTATTACTACATACAAGTTGTATTCAAATCCTAATTTAATTAAAAACTTGAGCTCATTGATTCAGCAGTGTATGAATTCAGGCCGTGAAAAGTGCTGAGTAGAGACTAATGCCGCTTATCCACAGTATCAGTATGACACGGCTCGACACTACACATTACGGCAAGGTCCAGTTTGCGTGCTTTTCCATCAAAAATAGTACCTCCTAGTATGTCCTCAGCATTGTCAGATCATGTCATTTACGCGTGACGCGTAACTAGTATTGGTGCAGTGCATGGATTATAATATCGGTTATTATTTATTTATTGTTTATTTGGTTGGGACAGTACATGTTAATGAACACATCACTCCCGATGGGAACTCTGCTTACCCCCTGCAGAACTGGCCCCTACATTTTCCGGACGCTGGGTAAGTGACAGACGATCAGCAAGTGTTGAATAGAAAATTCAACACAGCACCAGTGGTTGTTGAAAATGCTTATTTCTTAAAAGAATGACACTGAACATGTGAAGTCAATGGTGCTGACTGCTCTGCACAATCTGAATGGGATCTGTAGCAACAGCAGCCCATGTAGCTGTCACAGGTTTAAAAGTGTCTGTTGAGGGGGTGTGATCATTAAAAGGGAAACTGGATAAAAAGGGGATAAAATATTTAATAAAATATATACAAAAAGGATCCATAAAAGATGATTAAAAAAAACCCGCAGTCCACTCGTTCCCCACTGGCCTCTGCTCTTCTCAGTCCCAGGACCGGGCCGCAGTCCCGCCAGCCGCTCACCGACCACGGGTCGCCACCGGGCACCCGCGGGGGAGAGCCGACACATCCCGGTCTCTCCGGTGGGCCTAGCCCGGGCGCGCACACGCCAATGCGCTATCAATGCGCGCCTCACCGGTGCCGCTCTCCCCGCTGGCCTCAGTGCCCCGTGGTCTCTGGCTGGCGGTGCTCGTCCTTGGCCCGGTCCCGTGTCCTCCTCCTCTCGACTGGCTCTGCTCTGCTCTCTTCCTCTTCCTCTCCTCTCGTCCTGCAGTGCCCGCCCCCAATTAAAAGATCTTGATTAAAACAGGTGCGGGTTAGGGGAAGTGTCCAGGGGACAATGATAAAATGCATGCATTAAAACCATAAAAACACACAAAACACATCACAAAAATAAAAGCAGTTAAAGGTCCTTTCCCACATAGCAGTGTGCAGACGAGGGCTGCTTGTCCGAGGAAAGGGCCTGGCTATAGCTAATGCTAGTGCTAGCTCGAGACTCAGCTCACTCACTAACCCTGGATTCCAAAGCTACAACTATACTACACTTAACACATCTATCACTACCCTCAGAGAATGATCCAGGGTTTGAACTCGGTAAAGGACAGAGGGATAGACAGAAGCAGCCATGGGGTAGCGAGTTAGCGGCTAGGCTAGGCTAGGCTAGGCTAGACTAGGCTAGTCCGGACCCGGGTGCAGGACAGCAGTACAGCAGACTCCGAGACCAAACAACCGATACCCAAACCTCAGCTACAATACAGTTGATTACAAAGTTAATGCAAACAGAGCGCAGAGGGATAACAGTCAAAACACGCTCACCGGATACAGATTTAGACTTGCCACAATCCTTTATAAATGAATGAAACACAGTCTTGGGATACAATCACAGATTTATTCAAAACAAAAGTAAAGTGCAATACCAACAGTTTACAAAGTCCAAATTACGTATGTCTCTGAGACCAGGTCCAGATGAGGAGAATGTTAAGTACTCCAGTCACTCATTGCTCATTGGTAATCTCCACACTTATGGAAAGGGATTCTCATACAAATATACACACAAAAACTTAAATACAAGCACAAAACAGAATGACAACACGTGGATACTGCAGATAATACGAGATAAAGCACAGTAGCACAGGGAGGACGTTAGCTTAGCTGCTATCGATAGCTAAATGAAGCTAAATGTAGCTAGCTCACTGTGTACAACAGACAATCAAACATGTACACAGTAAATACATTTCAGTGAGAGCTTTAACGGGATTCGTAGCTAACCAGTTATTTCCAGGATTACCACAGACTAGTCACAAATCCAGAGCTGGGTGATCTCCCTGAAAACTGTGAGCCTCGAGCTGCCTTTGAATTCTTTCTTTGGCCTGAAGAGAGGAACGTGTGGACCTCGTCCACCGACCAGGACCAGGACTTTTGGGGCTTTCTGTGCAATTCCATTTCTTTGGAGTGAGGAGGACGTAATGTAGCCAAGGCAGAGCCGAGCAGAGCAGCCCGTTTTAAAGATCAGAGTTGGCTGTGATACGACCAGCCCGGCCTCGAGCTCGGGCAGCGTATAGGTCCTGCAGCGATGGAAGGCCGATCACTTCCTCTGCAGAGCGCACAATGCGCTGTAGTCTCTGTATGTCCCTGACTGTGGCTCCAGCGAACCACACGGTGATGGAGGAGGTGAGGATGGACTCGATGATGGCCGTGTAGAACTGCACCAACATCTGTGCAGGCAGCTTGGCTTTCCTGAGCTGCCGCAGGAAGTACATCCTCTGCTGGGCCTTCTTGATGAGGGAGCTGATGGTCAGCTCCCACTTGAGGTCCTGGGTGATGGTGGTGCCCAGGAAACGGAAGGACTCCACAGAGGTGATGGGGGAGTCCATCACGGAGGGTGGGGGCGGGGGGACAGTGCACTTCCTGAAGTCCACAATCATCTCCACTGTCTTCTGGGCGTTCAGCTCCAGGTTGTTACCACTGCACCAGGACACCAGCCGGTCCACCTCCCTCCTGTAGGCGGACTCATCGTTGTTGGAGATGAGTCCGATGAGGGTGGTGTCGTCCGCGAACTTGATCAGTTCACGGAGTCGTGGCTGGAGGTGCAGTGGTTGGTGTACAGGAAGAAGAGCAGGGGAGAAAGAACACAGCCCTGTGGGGCTCCTGTATTCATAATCCGAGAGTCCGAGACATTCTTCCCCAGACGCACTCGCTGCTTCCTGTCCGTCAGGAAGTCAGTGATCCACCTGCAGGTGGAATCGGGCATGTTGAGCTGGGAGAGCTTGTCCTGGAGCAGGGATGGCAGGATGGTGTTGAAGGCAGAGCTGAAGTCCACGAACAGGACCCTGGCGTAGGTCCCCGGGGAGTCCAGGTGCTGTAGGATGTGGTGGAGGGCCAAGTTAATGGCGTCGCCTACAGATCTGTTGGCTCTGTAGGCGAACTGCAGGGGGTCCAGGAGGGGGGAGGTGAGATGCTGGATTCATTGTATAATGCCTCAAATTGGTCACAGATTCGTTCAGCTGTGTGTGTGAGCCTTTGAAGCGATTACAGGCCAAGAGATTAGTCTTGAGCTGTATCCTCTCAGTCTCTCTCTCAATCCAGTGGACAGTGATACCAAGGAATCCCCTCATCTTTCAGTCAGACCAAATGTCCACAGTGACTGAAACATGGTCAGTGTCGCTCAATTGAGTTTTTAATCTTGAACGTCTCTCCCCTCTCTGCTGTTTCTTGCTTGCACACAGCGCCGCAAATGGCGAAGTGGCACGCTCTCTGCCAAAACAATTTGTGGTAACTTGTTTGTTACTTACGTGGCAATAAAAATTATTCTGATTCTGATGTGCATGTGTAGTATAACACTTACACACATATCTAGACACACATACATATATAGACACATACATGTCTATGTGTCTAGACATGTATGTATATATATACATATATATGTATATATATATATACATATATATGTATATATATGTGTATATATACATATATACACACCATTATACTATTCATGTGTTCAGTCATTTATCCTACTGGGCAAAGCCTCATTCTTCTTTACAGTATTCCTCAATTTGTTGTTTTTATATAAACTTTTGAAGCGCAGAATGGTGCTGCTTTGTTTTAATTCCTCTGACAGACTGTTCCATAGTGTGACGCCACCAATAGAAACATTAAAACGTTTCATAGTTGTTCTTGCATATTTTACTTTAAAGTTTAACTTTCCTCTTGGATTGTATTTCCCTTCCTTTTCTGAAAACAACCACTGAATGTGACCCGGAAGTAACTGACTTCTAGATTTGAAGAGAACTTATGGAGTTTTGAATTTGACTATATCAATGAACTTGAGCGTTCTCATGTGTAGGATCAGAGCATTAGTGTGATGTTGGTAACTTTTATTGTTTACTATTCTTACCGCTTTTTTCTGCAGGATTGTGACCGGATGGATATTTGTTTTGTAGGTGTTACCCCACACCTCGACACAGTAATTCAGATGTGGCAAGAATAATGAGTTGTATAATATCTGTAAAGCCTTTTAGCTTAAGACATTCCTAGTTGTGCCCACGATAGCTATCCACCGCACTAGCTTGGACCGGACGTGTTTTATGTGGGGTTTCCAGCAGCAGAATTTATTGTCTAAAATCACACCAAGAAATTTTATTTCATTCTTTTTTTGTTAATCACCTCGTAGTTCTTGAACCCAAACCAAACAACCTTTGGTAACATTTTGGCTTACTGTTGCGCGCGTTTAGTTTGTTCCTCATTTATTGATTGTCTCGTACTTTGATCGGTTGGATGCTGTCAGGTCAAAACAACGTGGTTCTAATTTGATTGTATTGGGGCTTTCAGACCGCCAACGCTGAAACGCGGAAGCCCCCTCAGCAGACGCAGAGGACTTCACACCAGAACGTCCTGACGCTACCGGAAGTAGCCGGCCGGCTCTAATGCTAACAGAGCTATGCTAGCGGCTTCTTGTGTACAGATCTTCTCCAATATGCAGCTTTGCAGCGTGTCTTTGCTCACAGACATTCCACGGGCTTTATATAACAGTAGTATGTGTTCACAGAGGTGCGCCATACGTGTTTTCATATTATTAAACGGAATTTCCGCATCAGCGAACACACTCGAAGCAGTTGCATAAGGTCACGGGAGCATGACAACGCATATTTTCACAAGCACAGAGTCCCCCATTGTCCCTCGGTTTGAGTTCTGGTGAAGCCTGGTGTGGGTCCTGTTTTGGCTGTTTACGAGTATTTTCAGTCTGCTCGCTCAGTCCGCTAATGTCCCCGTGACCACTTTGCTGCTCTCTGATTGGTTGTCGCACGAACGTCCCAAGGAAAGGATGAGCAGAATCCATCTCCTGTGGGCGTCCATTTTTCGCTCGTGCTCCTCCCTTTCACTTTCCCGCCAAGTCCGTGCGTCATTATTGAACAGTCCGTTCGTGCGTGCCGAGAGGTCCGTGCGTTGTGACGGTCGAACGCGCGCCACCATAGACTTTGCATTGAAACCCGACGCAACGCATGATCCGGTCTGAAAGCACCATTAGTTGTGCCATACACACTTCACACCGCGTGAAGGAGCGATCAGTGTCGTGTGAACATACTTTTTAATCTTTGGGTTCGAGGAAAGTCTTTTCAAGTCAAAAGGGTCAAGTCCAAATGAAATCACGAGTCACTTATGTTTAAGTCCAAGTCAAGTTGCAAGTCTTTAAAGTGATTGTCTGGAGTTTGTCAGAAAGAACGACAGAGTGGTGCTTGATATGAAAAAAACGACGCAAGCTCCCTCCCCCTTCCTTTCTGATTGGTCTACACCTACGTTTCCGTAACACTTTGAAATGTTAATCAGAGAACACACGTATACATTATTAATACACATGCACGGAGGTTTTCAGAATTATTTGTGAACGTTTTAATGAAAAAAATAATGTTTTTATGCACAAAAAAAGCGATCGCGGCAAACCAGGAAGTGCTATTATTATGAATTGCACATTATAGGACACATCTGCAGAGGATCTGATTATGGATATAGGTTCAGTATATAAATGAGTAACTCAGCGCGGATTTTCAGAATTCTTTGTTCAGTTTTCCTGTAGTTCCAGAGCCTAATAGAGGCTTGATTCGGAGGCTCCGCGAAAACAAACAACTGAGCATGCGCGCAGCTGCGAGCATCAGCGCCGATGATTGACAGCCCTTGGCATGACTCGATTGGTTAACCTCGACGGCACCGTGGATTCTGAACTATAGCTAAGAGCAGGGAAGGCGGGACTTGCCCGTAATATTAGAATTAATAAAATGACTTATTTTATATCAACATTTAAGGCCAGGAGGTCAATTTAACACATTTCCTAAAATTTGTAATTCATTTAGAGTTACAGACTATCACTTTAAGATTTTGTCAAGTCGAGTCTAAAGTCATCAAATTTATGACTCGAGTCCACAACTCTGGTATGCGCCGCTCTCTGACCACTGGATGCAGTTCTGATTCTCATTGCGCACAGACCGCGGTGCTGCCATAGACTGTAAATATTAAAGAACGTAGTCACACCCATCTCTGCCGTTCAAACTAATGTGCCATCACTTTCACCTTCTATGGGGCTTTTCAAAATGGTTGGGGGGGCAGGAAAATGTGAAAAAACGCATTGCGCATGCGTCAGCCGGCACGAGCCCCATTCATTTAACGAGTGCCTTCAAAATTTCACAGCGACTAAACTAGACTGGTCCAAAAAAACCACTCCCTCAGCATTGACACACATGTGGAATGTAGAGTTGGGCCAAGAGCCGACTGTTGGACCATCCTGTAAAGACGTTTTTGAGAGGTAACATTAGCATTGAATAATTCTTATTCCAGGTGGTATTGCAGGCATGTCAGTGCACGTCATTTTGGACTGTTTTGAGCCGGGACCTGCCCCCACTGGGTGCAGCGCGGGAGATCTTCCGGGTCTTGAGCCAATTCACGTTCAGGCCCCACCCCCTTAGCTGTGAGTTTTATTTACAATATTTATCATAAATAATAAAACACCACATAAAACAGACACAGACCAACGAACACTCTGGTCTTCATCTCTCTCCAGAGAGAGATGAAGACCAGAGATAGAAACAAGAGAGAAACCGGAGAGAGCTTGCCTTGGTTTACGTTCATGGAACTTTTTTCTACTCCGCTGTTTGAGATAATTGTGTGATGAAAAAGTGCATTGAAAAATGTTTTAACATTTTGTCATGTGATGACCACAAACATGTAGATAGTTTGAAATGAAAGACAATTGTGAAGAGAAAGTTCAAATGATTCCTGATTTTGTTATTCAAATATGATTGACCACTCAAATGATTGATGAGTGGTCACATGTTGTCCTTCATAAAGACAGAGCCACCTGTGAGTCGTCTACAGTGTTCTGCTATAACAGTGAACAGAATTGTGAGGTCCAAGAAGCACACCCAGAGGTCAGGGATAAAGCAATGTTGGAGCTGTTTTTGTATTTGTCTTCTGTATGTACTCTCTGTCTCCTACCACTGAGTGGCGCCACTTCGCTATTGTAGGCCCTATAAGCGGGTATACATCTTCTGATCGTCATCCATTACCTTTGTAGAGTTGTAGATCTGTGTGGAGGGATAAATACTGTCAGGAAATGGGAAGGTAGTGGTGTCCCAAGTAAGCTGTCAAAGGCCATCTTTAATAACAAAAGTAACTTTCCGTGCCGGTGTCAAATCGAGGGAGCTGCGGCTTTGGGATGCCGTAGGTTGTTGCTATCAACAGTTCAGTCATATTCGGGGAATAACCAGCATTTACAGGGACTTGTATCGGAGGAGCTGATGGGGCAGAATGGGACAGAGATGAAGCTGAGGAAGTGGAGGCCATGTCTGCTTCTGGACTAAGCTGGAGAAGCGCAGGCGGCTGGAGCGGAGCAGGCGGCTAGAGCGGATCCGGCGGCTGGAGCGGTGCCGGCGGCTGAAGCGGATCCGACGGATGGAGAGGCGCCGGCGGATGGCGAGGTGCAGGCTGAGGCGCAGGAGGCTGGAGAGGGACAGGCTGAGGCGCAGGAGGCTGGAGAGGGACAGGCTGAGGCGCAGGCTGAGGCGCAGGCTGAGGCGTAGGCTGAGGCGCAGGCTGAGGCGCAGGCTGAGGCGCAGGCTGAGGCGCAGGCTGAGGCGCAGGCTGAGGCGCAGGCTGAGGCGCAGGAGGCTGGAGAGGGACAGGCTGAGGCGCTTCATGCAGACTGAGTCCCGGCGCTAACATGGCGCTCTCTGGTCGTAGATTGGTGCTGGACCGAAGCATAGGACTAGGATATTTCAGAAGCTGGGACACCATCCTTGCTTCCTCATAATCTCTCTCTGCCTGGCGTATGCGTCTGGCTCGAGTCAAACTGTTAGATAAATGCTCACGGGCCATGGACGCTTCTCTGGCCTGTGTATTGTTGTAGAATTATAATGTTGTATACTAATGATTTCCAGTAGGTGTTTGCAAAAATGTCTTTGTGCAATATTAAAGCCTGGATTTAATGGAATTCAGACAAGCACCAAGGACAAGGCTTCTGTGAAAAAAGTATCATTTTCAGGAACAGCGTGTCTCTAGCGGCCTGAGACACAAAACTGGACTGGGCCAGACTGGGACCAGCGTCAGACCATGTGACGTCATCGGAGATTCTGATAAAACCGTTGGGAGGACACATTGGGGGGAGTTAGAGCACAGGGATAGAGATTTAAGGAGTAGCTCCGGGAGTTCTGTATCAACATTTAATTGTAAAGAGAAATAAATGTACCATTTGGAACTCCTGAAATCTTGGCCTTATTTCTGTACCAAATTCTGAACACGTCGATCAAATCATTTTAACCAACAGATGGTGACCCTCGACGTGATTTGATACAGAAAGAAGACGCAAGATGAGCTCAGATAGATAGACTGGGTCTGTTGGGTCTGGGGGCTCTCTACTCTGCAAAACACAGGTAAGCAGATACCATTTCTAAAATCTGCACATTGTTTTAAATAGAAGACAGAGAGATCTCGGCCCAACATGACTGCAGGTGTGGACAGACCCGCCGTGATGGGCGTTTTATCGGACGCGATAAAACAATAGTCAGGTTTATTTGACGTTTAACCTTGAGGGAATTTTGGGGTCCCCTCTAAAAAACAAAAAGGGAAAAGAAAGTCCACAAGGGTTTTAGAAGTGCAAAAGAGGCACACCGTTTTAAAGTGCAGAGAGGCACAAGTGTTTAGTGAAAATAGGGACAGCTAGGGTCAGAAGTTACAGGGAATAAAACCTTCCATATCCCCCGGGGGGCAGGAAAAAGGGTACATTTAATTTAAACAAAAAAGCCAAGTATTTAAAACTGTTGGATTCTGACTATTGAATAATAATGATCTGATTAATGAGGAAAAAGAGAGCCACTTGGCTGTAGATACGAGTTTCCATGTGGAGAAATGACCAGATCAGTTATGGAAGTTCTCTTGTTTGGTGATGTAATGTTTCAATAGTTACAGAGGTATTACGAAAAAGATCCGGCTGTACCTAGTGATGCATTAGTCATGTAAGCAAATTGTAATGTTTTCCATTACTGACGTATTTAAATAAGTGCAAAGTGTCGTTTGACGTGAGAGAACTCTCACCACTGATAAAACATTGTCACGATAAAAAACGAGGAAAATGTAGCAAATTTTAAAGGGGATGTTCATGAATTTGGTGTATTTCAGTCGTACATGTACTCCTCTGTTTGAGAAGCCACACAGCCTCTCCTTCTCCCTCCTTCTGCCTCCTGGCTCCCTCTCTGAAAAATGCTTGAGGCATACAGGCCACTCAGCCCCCCCTCCCTCTTTCTGTCTGCTCTCTCTCTCTCCCTCTCTCCAGTTAAGAAAGAGGCATACCAAATATTTTTTTGTAGAAAATTACATTTATACACACGATAATGTTACTGTCATGGAGTCATATGATCACAGAACTTTGAGTTAGATTATAAAGAGGCATTATTTTATTCTTTTGACCATCTCCAAACGTCTAGACAAGTTATTAAACATGTTTCCCAACGTTTTGGTGATATGAAATTTAAACTGATCTTAAAGAACAGTATACTTTTGGAAAAATAGGGCTTAGGATAGCAGTTGAATACAGATTTGGTTTTCAGAATTTAATGTTTAAAATGTTAATAGTAATTATTTCATAGGTTTATTTAGATTCGTAATTAATCATTGGTTTTGTATTGTATTAACACACTTGTTTGTGTTTCTTGTTTGTCTGTTTTTTTTCTGAGAAAACTTCTGTCTGTTTCATTGGCCGATCGCCAAAATCGTCCCTGCCACAAACCACAACCGAGCATCATCATCATCATCATCTGCAGCAGTATCGGCTGCAGCAACAGCAGCATCATCATCATCATCTGCAGCAAAGTAAAGGCCACAGACTTTTGTACAAACTGGGTGAAGTTATGTGCAGGAAGAGGAACGGTGTGTGAGCCGAGCAGAAGAGCACGACAACACATTTGTGTGCGTCAAATATGAGACAAAGAAGACATGGAAAGAAAAAGACATTGCAAGAAAAAGAAAGAGATTGGAAGTAGTAAGTAATGGTAGGGGAAACCGGAAGACCCGGAGGAAACCCACGCAGACACGGGGAGAACATGCAAACTCCCCTCAGGAAGACACTGTTCCGATCGGGATTCGAACCCAGGATCTTCTTGCTGAGAGGCGAGATGCTATCCACTCAGCCACCGTGCCACCCAGTAAGAAAAAGTAATTGAAAAAAAAGAAAGAAACCACGAGAGAAGACATTGAACACTTTGAGACAAAGACATTGAACACTTAGAGACAAAGACATTGAACACTTTGAGACAAAGACATTGAACACTTTGAGACAAAGACATTGAACACTTTGAGACAAAGACATTGAACACTTTGAGACAAAGACATTGAACACTTTGAGACAAAGACATTGAACACTTTGAGACAAAAGACATTGAAAGACGCCATGAGTAAAAGAAAGAGACATTAACGGACATTTGAGGAGGACGTGGCTGGGCAAATGAAACAGACAGAAGGTATTGTATACAGACAGGCAACAACGCACAGAGACATATAGGACATTTAGGTCATATTTACACATTTAGGTCATACGTTCATAACACTACATTTAACTGCATGAATGATTACAAGGTCATTTGACTCTTACTTTAGAATGAGACACAAGAAGATTAGAATGGCAGTATATTTGTGCATGCTTTAGATGAGTTTTATTATTAAAACTATTATTATTATTTAAAGTTATAGACGCGGAGAAGATTAGAATTATTGGTTTGAACTGCATGATCTTGTTACTACAGACATTTAGAGCAGTGTTCCTCAACCTTTGAGCCGTGGCTCGTCACTCATTTAAAACAATCACATGCACAGTTGAAACTGGTGCTAGAAAAAAAAAAAAAGAAAAAAAAAAGAAAGAGCTGCAGCCTTTAATGGACGCTGCATTTAGTACAAAGTGGTTTGTTCAGACAATCAAAGTTTGAAAAATGATTTAGATTATTTCTATATAATGGCTAAAGGTGATATTGGATCATTTCTGATGACACACTAACGCACCACGGCCCACTGGTTGAAAACACGGATGTAGAAACATTTTATGAAATCTTTTATGACATATTTCTCTTCCAAATAGATAAATTATAAACAATTAGGACAATTATGTCTTTGATACAACTGTTGGCAGTTTATCTGAGACATGATTGGTGCAAGTACGTTAGTACACGTACAATAATAGGCTTTTCTCCACATGAACGTGAGACAAAGGTGAAGTATTAAAGTTTGAAATTAATTTACATTTTTTAATGAATCCGAACTGGCTTTACTAAAAAAGGGAAGAACATTTGTAGTACGTGCAGTGCACGAGTCTAGAAGTAACTATAGGAGCTCATTAAACTTTAGGGGACACAGTCGGTGAGAAGCCCGAGTAAAGACCACGTGGTTTAAACATTAAAGTTTGAAATGGATCCTTTTAGGAAAAAATCTCTTAAAGCTCTGCATGTTCTGCAGGCTCTGAAAGTTGCAACAATAAAATAACTCATGAGAAAATTGTAATTGGACATGAAAAAAGTCAAATTACAGGCCTTCTGTGTTGTGTTGTTTATGTGTGTGTTACATGTTTGTGTGTCATGTCAAATACACTACGCTGACCTTAACAAAACTGGACAAAGAACTAACATGGTGTGGTCAGTGTGTGGTCAGTGTGTGGTCAGTGTGTGGTCAGTGAGTGGTCAGTGAGTGGTCAGTGAGTGGTCAGTGAGTGGTCAGTGAGTGAGGAGTGCTGAACAAGTGATGGAGGAATGGAATAACAAATGTTTTTCTTTAATGTTTTAATGTGATCATTGAATAATTATTTTTGTCAACAGCAAACAGTCTAAGCACTGGAAATTTAAAGATAACAAACTTTATTGAACAGGTGCAAAAACGAGAGTACTCTGCTGAAAGTACTGTGCTGATAAGTACTGTACTGGGAGTACTGTGCTGATAAGTACTGTACTGGGAGTACTGTGCTGATAAGTACTGTACTGGAAGTACTGTGTTGATAAGTACTGCACTGGGAGTACTGTGCTGAAGGTACTGGGAGTCCCTCCCTCTGCTGCTCGTCCTGACAGTGACACAGTCCAGGTGCAGTGAGCTGTCGATTGGTCGGAGGACAACTTTGGTTTGTAACTCACATTAAGTGGAGTATAAAATTAGAAACATACATTTCGTTAAGTCTGTATTTGGCTACAGCCTCTGCCCTGATGTCACACGACCGTCTGTCAATGCAGTTATGTTTGCCCAATTGGAATGATTGACAGGCTGCACCATGCCAGGGAAGTGGGCATTTTTGTGTTCTAATGTTTCTTTTCAGATTAAAGATAAACTACAAACTTCACCTGCCGCTGTGATAACACAGTAGTATGGATCATAAGAGGAAATGGGGCGAGCCCCTCTTTTGGTATAAACCACAACATGGACTGAGGACGACCTGGGAACGGCCAGCTGGAGATAATTGGAACAGTAATCTACACACACACACACACAGACGAATACATTTACACTTGGCCCACGACCAAGAGAGGGAGTATTGTAATGTTATTGTCATAGGTGGTCATGGTCCTTAACCTTCTAACAGAAAGAAGTGTAAAACGTATTTGTCCCATAGGGGGTCATTCTAAATTTAGTGTTGTGCAAATTCAAAAGGAGAAATAATAGCGCTTATAATGCA